ACCTTTTCTCTGCATATACTAGCAAGATGTAAATAGTGGAAATTTATTATCTTAGTCCATTTTACATTTTTATTACACATATTTTTGGTGACTGCTTATTATAATACATAAATAATAATTTAAATTGTTTTATAAATTAAAATTACTTAGCAAAAATTACATATTAAGAACATATATATAGGGAAAAGTACATATTGGTTTCGAATCTCTAAATAAATTAGAATCTCAACCTTAAATTATGCCAGTTTATTTAAGTAAAACTCAATTCAAAATTTAAAAATATATTATATTAAATATCCATATTTAGATACCAACAACCTGTTAGTCCGAGTGGAATGAGTTCGGTTTCCCTTAAACAAGATTTTGAGTTTGAATCTTATGAATGGAGAAACATGTGTTGGAAGAGCTTCCTTTTTAATGGGGTCCGACGTGGATCGATTCTAGATTAATCGGAATTCAATGTGATTATCGGATACCGAGAGGTTAATAAAAAAAAATATCGATATTTATATTTAAAAATTAATTATATTAGAATATATAATCGATTTTCAATTTTAAGTATCAACATTTAACGGGGTGAATTTTTCAATTTTGACTTGGGATTTTGGTTTCTAAAAATGTAGGTTAGGATTCCACTTTTTTTTTTTTTTTTTGGAATTGAGATTGATACGCATTGATTTCATATATATATATCCACACACATTATCATTCATAATTTCATATATTATATAAAAATATATCACCTAAAAAAACATGTATAATAATAAGTAAAATGGAGGAGAGGCAGTCTAATACCCAGGGATTTTTTTTCTAAGTTCTACAGGATTTATTAAGTCTTTTAGGGGATTTATAGGTGATAAGATAAAATATGAGATCTAACCATTAAGGTGTGAGAAGGCTAGGGACTAAGTTGTAAGGAATTTGTAATTAAACCTAAAACTGACATGGTGGTTTACATTCTTTAGAACCACCTTCCTCTTTTCATCTTTTTCAAATTTATACTAAAAAAATTTGGCTGAATTAATATTTATTAATTCAAATTTTTTAATTTGAGATTAAAATTAAAGATTCAAACTTTTATATTTCTAAACAGTTAACTCTTTGATGTAAAAAAAAAAAAAAATTCTTTCCCAAATTTAATGAAGGAAATGCATGACCTTGAGGAGATTTTGGCCATCCCGAACTCACCCCAAGCGAAGAAGGCGTGTGGTGGAGAAGATTTGTGCATCTTGAAGTCAAGAGTAAAGGTGCAAATAAGGATTCCAACTTTATACTTTTTTTTTATTTATGGATGTTAATTTTGTCAGTTTCTAAATAAGAATGTCAACTTTCAATTTTTTTCTAAATAAAGATGTTAACTTTGTCAATTTTTAAATAAGGATGTTAACTTTCAACATTTTCTATTTAAGGATGCCAACTTTTAACTTTTTCTATTTAAGAATTAATTGAATAGTGATGCTGACGTGACTAACATATTTTTTTAGGTTAAATATCTGAATTGGTCCCTCAACTTTTATTTTTGAACCAATTCATCCTTGAACTTCAGAAAGTACCAAAAACATCCCTCAACTTCAATTTTCAATTTCATCTTTCCGTCAGTTAAATGTTGATGTAGCTAATTTTTTCGCTAAGTGATTGACTATTTTACATTTTCAATATTAGGTGGAAAATCCATCATGTTAAACATGATTATGTGGATTTTTTT